AAAAAAAAATAATAAATAGCCAGTCACTTGCCCCAAATTCGAAGTAAACTCGTACAGCTACGTGCACGAAAACGAAACAACGAAAATCAATCATTTTCTCATTCATTTCCTCTCCAAAAACACTTTTTCCGACAAAATTTTGTCGACAAAAAAGAAGATGCGCGGCTGGAATGATTTACCGAAGGAGACGAAGCAAGAGGTCATCAAGAAGTTGGACTTCATGAGCAGGTAGCTTTTAGTCTTTCCTCCCTTATAAGAGACGCAGACGTTTAGACACTCTCGCTGTCTGCGTCTCTCTCCTTCCCGATTTGTGACACGCAGACGTCTAGACACTTTCGTAGTCTGCGTCTTCGCTTGTAGTTTGTAGTATTTGTAGTCCCCTTCTTCCAGAGTCTCGATGAGAAGCACTTGTCGTTTGGATCGTGCTATTGTCGACGCGACGGAACTCTACATTCCACGTGTCCGTTTCTCGACACGTGCTTATGATTGCTTGCTGATGATCTATACGGAAACTTCAAGAGAAAAAAATGATCAGCTTAAAATTCTCTATCGATTGGTGTATAAAAATTGATCAAAAATTGAAAAAAATCTCAGAAAAATACAAAAATCAAATTTTGAATTTTCTCCAACTTTTCGACACCCATCGGTAGAGAATTTTCAGCTGATCATTTTTGTCTCTTAAAGTTTTTCTCCAGCTTCTCTGCGTCTCGAGATATCATCGAGTCAATTCGGGCACGCGCGTAATTGGAGGAAAGAGACGCAGACAGCGCGCCACTCTCGCTGTCTGCGTCTCTCTTCCTTTTCGAACGCCTATATCTCGAGACGCAGAGAAGCTAGAGAAAAACTTCAAGAGACAAAAATGATCAGCATAAAATTCTCTATCGACTGGTGTTAAAAAGTTGAAGAAAATTCTTTAAAAAAAATTTTTTTTGCAGATCTCAAAACTCGTACTCCCGCAAAGACGCCATCGTCAAACGCGTCCAGACGATTCAACCGCAGCCTCTATCCTACAAATTCATGAAGGATTTCCTCATCAGCCGCAACGTACTCCTCGGAGTATTCGAATTGGAGCATGGTGACTGCAGTCTGGAGAATCAGCAATTCAAGACGGTCACAATGATGCGTGCCATCAAATACGGCAAAATTCGTGCGAAGAAATTGGTGACGAACTGCAAAACCAAGTCGATAACCGATATGCTGTTGATGAATAATGTGATGGATTTGGAGGTGCTTCAGGAGATTGTCAATGACGGAATTTATACGAGTGATGATATTGATTTGACTCCTCGCCAGATTATGGATTGTACGCTTCTTCCCGATGAGGAACCGTCGAGAAATCCGAGACAGGAGGTGTTTCCATGCCAGAAGATCATTAAGGTTCCCTATTGTAAGTGATTGTGGAGACGCAGACACCGAGAGTGTCTAGACGTCTGCGTCTCCTCACAAAACGGGAGAGACGCAGACACCGAGAGTGTCTAGACGTCTGCGTCTCCTCACAAAACGGGAAGAGGAGAGACGCAGACACCGAGAGTGTCTAGACGTCTGCGTCTCCTCACAAAACGAGAAGGGGAGAGACGCAGACGGCGAGAGTGTCTAGACGTCTGCGTCTCACAAAGCAGGAGAGACGCAGACACCGAGAGTGTCTAGACGTCTGCGTCTCCTCACAAAACGGGAGAGACGCAGACACCCAGAGTGTCTAGACGTCTGCGTCTCATGAAGCGGGAGAGACGCAGACACCGAGAGTGTCTAGACGTCTGCGTCTCACAAAAACGGGAAGGGGAGAGACGCAGACAACCAGAGTGTCTAGACGTCTGCGTCTCACGAAACGGGAGAGACGCAGACACCGAGAGTTTCTAGACGTCTGCGTCTCTTCACAAAACGGGAGAGACGCAGACACCGAGAGTATCTAGACGTCTGCGTCTCTTCACAAAACGGGAAGGGGAGAGACGCAGACGGCGAGAGTGTCTAGACGTCTGCGTCTCACAAAGCAGGAGAGACGCAGACACCGAGAATGTGTAGACGTCTGCGTCTCACAAAACGGAAGAGACGCAGACACAGAGAGTGTCTAGACGTCTGCGTCTCACAAAGCAGGAGAGACGCAGACACCGAGAATGTGTAGACGTCTGCGTCTCACAAAATCAATTTTCAGACGAATTGCAAATTTGTATGAAGTACTTCTGCGGACCGACAGCTGCTGTGATGATCACGAATCGATATGAAGACAGTGATGGATTCGCGACGGTTCGATTCTCGACCGACTACTCCGACATCTGGGATCATCAGTTTTGGCCTGTCGAGCAGTGAGTTTTGTTTTGTTACAGTAATCCCTGGTGCTCTTTCGAAAATAGAACTGTCCCATATCTCAAAAGTGGGCGGAGCTACTGTGCATGTCTTCTTGTGCAAGCTTCGAGGGGAGAAAACCAGAAAAACGTGCGACAAGGGTAATTGCAGGACCCAAGCGCTTGAAGCTCGCTTGACTGTTCTACTCTCAGAGAACACTAGAATTCTTTGATGGATAGTAAGAGATGGAACAAGAAGGGTGAGTCATGAAATGTCTATCTTGATTCTAACACGTTTTCATGCGGATTTCTGAAGCAACGCACCCCTGGACACGGAATTGCCCCTCCGATGATTTTTCTCCCCTTGAAATATCATGAGTCACGCATAGCGTTGTAAGAGAGTGGAGGTCGCCTTCGACGCGTTCATATGACGTAGCTGATCGGCTGCTCACGCTGCTACTAGACACTGCTCCCGTATCTCACATCCATCGCTCATCCATATAATTCTATGAGATGCGAAGGCGAGATATGATGCACGCCGATATCTAAT